GCAGCAGCATCTGCAGGTGCAGCCGGGAGTGGGGGACAGAAGAGGAGTAACAGTTGCAGCCAGCCCCAGGACCCTGGGGGTGCCACCGCTACGTCCTAGAGCACTGTCCATCAGAACTTTCTGCAATGGTACCAAGTTCTATGAGGGTCACTAGCCACGTGGGACTCTTACACTCTTGAAATGTGGCTGGTGTATCAGAGGACCTGAATTTTAAATTGTATTAAATTTCCAATAATCAGCACGGTGGCTCACGCCTGTAACCCCAGCGCTTTCGGAGGCCATGGTGGGCGGATCACCTGACGTCAAGAGTTCGAGACCAGCCAGGCCAAAATGGTGAAACTCCGTCTCTACTAAAAATACAAAAATTAGCCAGGTGTAGTGGTGCCCCCCTTCAGTCCCAGCTACTTGGGAGGCTGAGGCAGGAGAATCGTTTGAACCTAGGAGGTGGAGGTTGCAGTGTGCCAAGATCATGCCACTGCACTGCAGCCTGGGCAACAGAGGGAGACTGTCTCAAAAAATAATTTCCCATAATCAAAATTTAAGCCACATGTGGCTCCTGCCTTATGGAACAACTACAGAGACCGCCGTCAACCAGTTGTAAACTGGAGGCCCGAGGGCCCAAAAGGCCTCACAGTTATATTTGGTTTGGAACACAAGGTACTTTTTAAACATTTCACTGGGCGGTATGTCTATTTTTTGAGACAGAGTCTCACTCTGTCACCCAGGCTGGAGTGCAGTGGCACCTCAACCTCCCAGGTGCAAGTGATCCTTTTCCACTTCAGTCTCCTAAGCAGCTGGGACTACAGGCGTGGGCCACCACACATTTTGAGTCAGACCACTCTTTGTTGTGGGGGACCATCCCGTGCACTGCAGGGTGTTGAGCAGCATCATTGGCCTCCACCCACTAGATGCCAGTAGCACCCTTCCCCAACCCCAGTCGTGACACCCCAAAATATCTCTAGACATTGCCCGTGTCCCCTAGGGGGCAACATTGCTCCTGGTTGAGGACCCCGGGTCCACTAGGACAATTACCTAACCTGAGTCTCTTGCCCAGATCCCTGATACAGTTACAATGTTTGTCTCCTCCAAAATTTTTTTTTTTTTTTTTTGAGATGGAGTCTTGCTCTGTCGCCCAGGCTAAAGTGCAGTGGCACAATTCTAGGCTCACTGCAACCTCCAACTCCCGGGCTCAGTCGATTCTTCTGCCTCAGCCTCCCAAATAGCTGAGATTACAGGCATGCACTACCACTCCCGGCTAATTTTATATTTTTGGTAGAGACGAGGTTTCACCATATTGGCCACCTGGTCGCCAACTCCTAACCTCAGGTGATCCACCTGCCTCGGCCTCCCAAAGTGCTGGGACTACAGGGTTCAGCCACCACACCTGGCCTCCTCCAAATCTCATGTTGAAATGTAATCCCCAGTGTTGGAGATGGGGCTTGGTGGGAGGCATTTGGATCATAGAGGTGGATCCTTCATGAATGGCTTGGTGCCATCCTTGAGGTAATGACTGAGATCTCGCTGAGTTCACGAGATCTAGTTGTTTAAAAGAGCATGTCAGACGTAGTGGCTCACACCTGTAATCCCAACACTTTGAGAGGGTGAGGCAGGCGGATCATGAGGTCAAGAGATCGAGACCATCCTGGCCAACACGGTGTAACCCCATCTCTACTAAAAATACAAAAACTAGCTGGGTGTGGTGGCGGGCGCCTGTAGTCCCAGCTACTCGGGAGGCTGAGGCAGGAGAATCGCTTGAACCTGGGATGCAGAAGTTGCAGTGAACCAAGATTGTACCACTGCACACCACCCTGGCAACAGAGCAAGACTCTATCTCAAAAAAAAAACAAAAAACAAAAGCGTGTCACCTCTCACCAGTCTTTTCCCCCCACCATATGCCAACCACCCCTTTACCTTCCACCATGATTGTAAGCTTCCTGAAGCCCTCGCCAGAAACAGCTGCCAGGACCACACATCCTGTACAGCCTGCAGAACCATGAGCCAATTAAACCTCTTTTCTTTGTAAATTACCCAGCCTCAAGTATTCACTCATAGAGATGCAATGAAACTAACACAATCCCTCTCTTGAGTTTCAGACCATATAACTATTGGCATTATAGTGGCCACAACCCCCACCCCCACTGCTGTCCCCGGAAATAATGACAACAATAACCACCATTTATTGAGCCCTCACTCAGGAACAGCCATTGCTAAATGCACAGCATCCTCAGGGCAGAGCTACAAGGAAAGTACCATGAGGATCCCTGTTTTACAGATGAGGGAAGCAGAGCTCAAAGAGATCGTGTGATTGGCCTGAGGTCACATATCCTCAAGCGGGATGGCCAGGAGAGCACCTGCCTCTGCCCGCACTGGGTCAGTGCATGTGACCCTGTCAGCAAGTCACACATTTCCCTGTAATCCCACGGTCGCCGCTGCCACCTCAGCGCCAACCACCACCAATTACCCCCAGCTTATAGCAGTAGCAGCCTTCCCTCCATCACTCTCCCTCCCCTCTCGTTTTTTTGTTGCTGTTTCTTTTTTCAGACAGAGTCTCGCTCTGTCACCCAGGCTGGAGTGCAGTGGTGGGATCTCAGCTCACTGCAGCCTCCACCTCCCAGGTTCAAGCAATTCTCCCACCTCAGCCTCCTGAGTAGCTGGGATTACAGGCGTGCACCACCACAGCCAGCTACTTTTTTGTAATTTTAGAAGAGACAGGGTTTCACCGTGTTGCCCAGACTGGTCTCGAACTCCTGGCCTCGAGCATCCACCTGCCTCAGTCTCCCAAAGTCCTGGAATTATAGGCGTAAGCCATCATGCCTGGCCTTCTCCCTCCCTTCCCTGTGGCAATTTCCAAGTGATTTTTTAAGCTCATAGAATCATTCCCTGACTTAAAACCTTCCCTTCTGAGACTGAGCAACATATTGAGACCCTGTCTCTCCAAAAAAGTAATAATAATTAGGCAGAGGTGGTGGTGCCTGCCTATAGTCCCAACTACCCAGGAAGCTGAGACAGGAGGACTGCCTGAGCCCAGGAGTTACAGAACGCAGTGCATTATGATCTAAACCTTCCCTTCTGCCCTTAGAGTAAACCCAGACACTGCAAGGCCCTGCATAGACTGTGCCCGCGGCTGCCTTCCCTTCTGGGCATCATGGTGCTGCCTCTCCCTTGCCTGATGCACCGGCCTCTCCCATCTGGAACGCCTTTGTGCTTGCTCTTCCCCTCTCTGTGATGTTCCTTTCAGCTCCTCACAAGAATGGCTCCTTCCTGGCCTTCAGGTTTCAGCTCACAGAACACCTGGTCACAGCAGCCTTTAGTGACAGTGTTAGCTGGAGGTGCCCTGCTCGGTGTCCTCCGTCTGTTCGTTTCCTTCACATCCCACAGCACGATCCGTGATGGCCTCGTCGATCTACTGCCTGCTGTGTGACTGCCTGCCTTCCCCACTCTCCAAGGCCCAGCTCCATCCTGGTCAATATTCTACCCTCAGAATCTATCAAAGGTCTCAGGAAAGGGTAGGGAATCAATTCGATATTGGTTGAATAAATGAATGAATTTGATCGCCCCGTCCAAAAGTCAAGCATCACCTCCCTACCCAGCTCCCCAACAAAGAGAACCCCTGCTCACCCCCAAGACATGATCATCGGGAAGCCACACCATCTAGACAAAATTCTTGTCCCGCCATCTAGAACTTTGAACGTCCCCATTTCCTCCCACTCCCTCACTCCCCAAAGTCAGACAAGCACCAAGTTCCATCACCTCCACCCCCTGAGGGCACTCCCCTCCGTTCTCCAAGAGCTGGGCAATGCCCTCCATTCTCCAGACGAAGTTCTGGCCCCTTCCTTCTCACCAGGACCACCACACAAGCCTTCTCCCTGGTACCCTGGCCTCCAGTTCCTCCCCCACGCTGGCCTGACCTCGACAGGTTCTTCTCACAGCTGTGTTGAATGCAACCTCAGCACCATGCATAACATTCTCCTGGCCCCCTTTACCCTCAGGACCAAGTCCGAGTTTCTCAGCCTAGACTCTGAGACCCTTTGTGAGGTGGCCCAGCCACTTCCCCACCTCACTTCTCATTCCTGTGCTCCAAGCACACAGGGCATCTCACAGGCCCCTGGCCAGACCTTGAATTTACACAGCTCCACACGCAAAGGCTTCTGTGTTTTCCTCGCCCTGAGAATTCTTCCCCTTTGCTGGCAGCCTTCTCCTTAGCCTTCTGGAATCATGTATTCTGACCTCTCAAGTTGGCTAGGTGTCACCTATATGCCCTGCTCACCAGTCCACCAGCTCCTCTGCTTAAAATCCTCCCTACAGTATAAGCCTCTCAGCCTGGCATGAAAGGCCTCGCCCAACCTGATCTCAGTCACCTTTCCCACCCTTGCCCTCACCCAACCTGTTCCACACAGCTGCAGCGAATCATTGACTTCTCCATTTACACCTCAAATCTTGGGCCACTGTGACTGATTACTCATGTCCCCAAACTTCAGTTCACACTGCATATCCATATCCACGGTCTCGATGAATCCTCTCAACGGTCCAGCGAGGCTGGCAAACAGATGCACTCCACAGCGCAGAGGGAGCAGAAGCCGCTCAGATCTCCGGCCAGAGTGACCGAGTGACCCCCGCTCCAGCACCCTCCCCTCCCTCTGGCTGCCCAAACCCTCCCCAGCCTGCAGTCTGGGTCCTGCGTCCTTCAGGAACCTTTTCTTGGCCACCCCCTCTTCTCAAGGTCCACTATTCATCCCACTCTGTCTTCCCATGGGAAATAGCCCCTTCTCCCCTTGGGAAATACAGTGAGTCCCAGGCCTGTGCCTCTCGGGCAACTGGATCCAAGCCCACTCCCAAGGCTTTCTGCCCTCCTCTCCCTATACCTCGTCCCCTGGTCTCCGCAGCCCCTCCCCAAGCCTTCTTCGCAGGGCGTCTCAGTTTCCAATGCCCACTGCCCTGGGGACCACTCTGTCCCACACCCCAAATCCCTCACTTGGGCAGGACTCTTAAGAATGCCGTCACGGCTGAACCTGCTCACTCCCCGCAGTCCGGCCCGGTCTCCCTAGCCCTACGCAGCAAACTTTCACGTCCGGAAGTGGCCGCAGGGACGACTTCCGGGATACTCCGACTTCTCCGACAGCTTCCGGATTCGGAGAGCAGCAGGAAAGCACTCCGTCCGGAAACGCACCCATAAGAGAAAGGTTCCTGCGTCGCGCAGCTTGCTACTCCACACACACTACACAAAAGTTAAAATGAAATCACTATTTGGCGCCGTGCCGAATGCTGAGGGAGGAAATACAACAGAGATGGCTTTTGTCAAAAAAAAAAAAGGACTTTTCTTTTTTTTTGAGACGGAGTCACGCTCTGTTGCCCAGGCTGGAGTGCAGGAGTTCACCGGAGTGATCTCGGCTCGCTGCAACCCCCGCATCTGGAGGTTCAAGCTATTCTCCTGCCTCAGCCTCCCGACTAGCTGAGATTGCAGGCGTCCGCCACTACGCCCGGCTGATTTTTTTGTATTTTTAGTAGACACGGGGTTTCACCATGTTGACCAGGCTGGTCTCGAACTCCTGACTTTGTGATTCGCCTGCCTCCGCCTCCCAAAGTGTTGGAATTACAGGCGTGAGCCACCGCGCCCAGCTAGAAAAGGACTTTCCTTAAAAAGTCACTTTGGCCGGGCGCGGTGGCTCAAGCCTGTAATCCCAGCACTTTGGGAGGCCGAGACGGGCGGATGACGAGGTCAGGAGATCAAGACCATCCTGGCTAACACAATGAAACCCCGTCTCTACTAAAAATACAAAAAAAATTAGCGGGGCGTGGTGGCGGCGCCTGTAGTCCCAGCTACTTGGGAGGCTGAGGCAGGAGAATGGCGGGAACCCGGGAGGCGGAGCTTGCAGTGAGCCGAGATCGCGCCACTGCACTCCAGCCTGGGCAACAAGAGCGAAACCCCTGGCCGGGCGCGGTGGCTCACGCCTGTAATCCCAGCACTTTGGGAACCCGAAGCGGGCGGATCACGAAGTCAGGAGATTGAGACCATCCTGGCCAACACGGTGAAACCCCGTCTCTACTAAAAATACAAAAAAATTAGCCGGGCATGGCAGCGGGCGACTGTAGTCCCAGCTGCTGGGGAGGCTGAGTCAGGAGAATGGCGAGAACCTGGGAGGGGGAGCTTGCAGTGAGCCGAGATCGGGCCACTGCACTCCAGCCTGGGCGACAGAGCAAGACTCCATCTCAAAAAAAAAAAGGAAAAAAAAGCGAAACTCCGTCTCTAAATAAATAAATAAATAAATAAATAAATAAATAAAGTATGTGGCCTCAGCCTCCGCAGCCAGCCGGGATATGCTGAGCCACCTCCTGGAAATGTTGGAAACAATGGACAGAGTCAGTGATCATCCACCCAGTTTTGGCAGAGGCGGCTGGAGTACTTAAAGACTTTTCCACAGGACCACACACATGTTCATATCCTAAGGCCAGGAGGATGCTGAGTGTGAGACATGATGCTGCGTGAAGTAGAGCAGGCCCTTGAAGGTTTGTAGGAACTCAGGGCAAGGCTGGGAACTGGGCCCTGGTTCTTCGCTTTCTCCTGAGCCAGCTTCTTTAACCACAGTACTATATGTGCAGGGCACCCCCTGGTGGTCAATAAGGTAATGACAGTTTGCACTTAAGGATACAAGTGAGGACAAAATAGGTGAGCAACTCACCCTGGTTTGGGAGACGTCTTGGGACTATCCAGTTTTAAAACTGAGAGGGAAAAAATAAAGAAGAACAAGGCAAGAAAATAGATGTCTTAGATTTGGCAAATCACCACCATCTGGCTGTTGACAAGGAGGAGATAAGTTATTCCCTTTTATCGATGGGGCTACTGAGACCAGAGAGTAAACTCCCCGTTCACAAAGTCCAGCAGGTGCAGAGTTAAAATAGATTACCCGCCTCCTGAGTTACACTAATAGGGGAAAGAAGACCAGCAGTTACCCTAGGTGGCAAGTAAATCTTTCTCACTTTTTTTTTTTTTTTTTTTTTTGAGACGGAGTCTCACTTTGTCGCCCAGGCTGGAGTGCAGTGGCCGGATCTCAGCTCACTGCAAGCTC